AAAACATACATATAAGGAATTCCCGATGTCCACAACATTGATTAGCCTCAACTCGTAAAACGTTCATAAAAAAATCATCCAGCTATTTTGGGTTTATTACAAGCGCACAGACGGACATCACCGAAGATGACCTTAATCACGGTGGACTGCGTCATCAATCGCGATGTCAACACAAATGCGCAGATCATAGGTAATGGCGTCATTATTCCACCTCATGAATTAAAACAAGTGAAGCAAGTTACAAAGTATGTGTTTCGAGCAGTCAACAATGGCATAAAGTCCATAACAAATCTCATTAAATCCTTTACAGACATTATATGGTTATTTAGTACGCCGAGGAAGATATAACAGGTCAGGGAAGAAATGCGCAAGCGCAAATGATCACGTGTAAAGACATCATCATTCCACGTCAGGACTTATTCGACCATCACGCTGGCATATCCATGTGTGGGAAGTTAACAAACATGTGATCAGAGTAAACACCTAGTGGCACAATGTCCATGACAAATTTAATTAAAATCGTGTAAGACATAACATTAATTTAATTCACAGAGGCGGGAGTAATTACCTATGGTATACCGTGCAGACCAAATTTTATGTTAATCCTCATAGATATTAAACAAGCTTAGAAATGGCCTACTTTTAAAACAGTCGTGCTCCGTACTGTTCGTCTGAGAACCAGGCTGCTTTACAATTTCGTTATTAATTATTCTCAGTTGAATAAAATTACATTAATTTACATGTATGAAAATAAATGCCAGCTTCAGCAAACATTAATCAAAAACACTTTACTGACCTACTCTCTTTGCTGTCTCATGGTATTCAAATAACTGTGCTGCCACAGATCCCACACAGAATGTCAAGTCACAGAGAAATTGACAGATATTTCACGAACACTTTATACCAGTTATCACAGCAGCTCTACTTTAACCGACCACTTTCCTTTGGAAGCACATCTAAGAAGCATGCTGTTTCAGGGCAACACACTTTACTTTTATTAGTAAAGTAAACTTGCCTAAATCGAATTTAGATCTGAACACAAGCTATTTTAAGTTTGTCGTGGTTGTTCTCTACCTGGGATATAAACTAAAATTAAGGCATGGCCTTTTCTTCAATTCACCATAGAAAGACTATCCTCAACATCGAAAGTCGCTTTGTAGAATGCGTTATTGATTCAAATTCAGTAGATTTCGATTAAAAGTCTCTATTATACAACTTTCTACCCTGCGTTAAGTTACTTGTAGTTTTCCTGTATACCTACATTGAAATTCGGTTGTTTATATTAGTATTATCGATTCTCCCACATCCGTCATCAATTCAATTATCATCACATTTTCGTTTTTTTATTTAACGGTAAGTAATCTGAAGTGATAAGTCTCCGCCATTAAGTATACGGACAAAAATAACTATCTATCCCTCAAACAAATAACCACAGCAAAGAATACCCAAAACAGTGTCAGTGGTCGATGTCTGCAGTTCTCGTGCACTATAACATGACTGCTCTGTAATCCATTAAGTAATGTTTGGTTTTCTCTCAGCTTTCATCAATATAAACAAACCTTCCACTGTCATAAACTAACTTCATCCCAGCAGTTCCTAGTCATATAATTTAATATGTAGACTTACGTAATTCACGGATGGTAGCTCTAGATGTAGGCAAATATGCCAATGTGAAAGGAGTAGTCTTTTCAAACAAATATGTATACGACTATAATTCATAATTTGTTTCCTCCGAATACAGTCAGTTGAAATAAAACTTTAATTCCATCTGTATCCTCAACTACCGATGAAATAATTATAAATTGATACTTCAAACAACCAACTCCAGCACATACGACCACTATTTAACAAAGCAACCATTATACTGGATTTCACATCAATAAAACCGGAAATTCGCTTTACATCTAAATCGTAAACGACGTCACCCCAATATAGAGAAGCTTTGATATACCGTGACACAAAATGTTACCCAAGTGGTCTAAATTTTGAGTCACGATGTTTGTAAATAAGTTTCCTTGCATAAAAGAAAGCATAATTTGCAGTGATTGTATAGCTGTAGGTCTGAAGCTTCTTTGTATCAGATCTTTTCTCCATTATTATAAATTTAGGAGGCATGAAGAATCTGGTAAAAACAGGAAGTACGAACCAACTCTTTACAAACACCTACAGTCTCCAGAATGCAGCATGTGTTATTATATTGTACCATCGTGTAGACAGACGTCGTATTTCGTTCATTAAAATGATCTGTGTTAGTTTCCAGAGTCTTCGAAATCCGAAAATGCATGTAATATTCTTTAAAGAATTTCATGTTAAACACGCAAACTCAAAAAAGAGAAAATTTCATCCATCGTTCCTACATCGTCGAAGTCCATGCGATGTATTACAAAATACTGTGAAGGAAATTTCTATACTGATAACAGTTGCAGCTTAGCTATTTTATACCGGCAGATACGCCCAGAGGCAGCCAAAATTCATATAATCTGATTGAATTCAACTAACCATGACGATCGCTTGCTGTGTATGGCTGCAGATAAATGCCCTCCAAAAAGGGAGCAGCATTTTGGTGACTGATGGCAATGGATGAAAAATCAGCGTGTCTAACATGGCAATATTCATAAATGTCACGATAAAAAGAGTGAGTGGTGATGGAAATTGGTTCTTCTGAACTCTGTCACAACTAGACAGGTCATTTGGCGACGATGGAAAAGGTAAATTAAGGTAGTGAGAAAATGTCATAGGTTATTAGAATTATTTACGAAACAATGCAATTTGTATCGCAGAGACAAGAATCCTTCTTCAACTGTTGAAATTACGCACATGAAAACTACCCAGTTGACAAGACCAACGTCTTATGGGAAATTTAGGAGTAGGGGAACCGCGGCGTTGACCATTTGGGAGGAGTCGATGGGAGTATAATTTTATAATTAACGTTATATAAATAGGGTGTGAGCACCCCCCCCCCCCCCCAAGTGGTTATGCGGTCGGTTGGAAATCATACAAAGGGAATTCTCCCGGTATCCATAGTAACCAAGGTAACCATGGCAATGATCCTGGGGAATCGCTACGTAATTTCCACGTGTAGCAATGCATGTACAGATCTACATAAGGAGCGCCAGATGTTTGATTTCAACAAAAACTAGAACATGCAGATTAACTCAAATTAATGCCGATAGATTTAGTAAAGCGTAATAATATAAAAGTCCATGGTTCTCACAGCGGTGAGTATGAAGATGACTATCTTCAGGGATGTTGGGCTCTGTCATCGGGGCCTGATAATGGAGGCAGTAAAAATCTCTGAAACGTCCATACAGTTGCATGAGATACACGTCACAATATCCTATAAGACAGCCGTCTGAAAATGGTAAGATGACTGTGGAGTAGGTAAGAATTTAGAAGGAGGAAGTCTAGAGCTTTATCGTTCGATCATAAAAAAACACATACTCGTATAGTTCGACAGCAAAACAAGACAGAACAGTAACCGAAGCGGCAAAGAAAGCGGTATCGATTTTATATTAACCAAAACATCGCGTCACAAAACAAAAGAGTAATGAAATAAAGAAAGCAACAAGAGATTTTTTCTCTCCAAGTATTAAGCCAATGTCAACAAAATTTTGTAAATCGTTCCAACGTCGGACATCCCTGAAAACCCATTTCTAAATTTCCTGTTAAAAGTTAGTGGTTAATTATAGGCAAAGGAAGAAGTTATTTTAACACTGTTCTTTCAAAAAAATTTCTGCGGAAGAGAAACAAAGCCCACCTTCAGCAACACTACGACTACGACTCGTAAAAAAAAGCTGATGGTAGATTTATTAATTTAGTCACAAAATACATTATCGCTTCAGCAGGGAGTATCAATTACAGAGTTAATAAATGCATAGCAAATTACATTTTAGTACAGGAGACAAAATTATTACAGACTACTGTATATGGAAACGTTATAAAATACATACAGGATATGCCGCGGTCATTCGCATCAAAATCAATAAGGCCTAATCCATTTTCAATAAAGACAATGAACTATAGCGTGCATAAATTAAGATAAAATAACTTGGCCATTCTCCAAAATTATGTCGTTCGTGGCAATCAAATTAAGAACCAACGAGGCAGTCAGGAAAAGAACTTACGACGCCTTTGAACATTTCAATCCATGTCGCGAGTCTAGCAGTGACACTGTATACAATTAATGATTCTTCGTATACATATTTTACAAACAAACTGAAGCCAAATACAGATTTCGCAAAGCTCTCATATTGTTGTTCCAATTTTTTTTTTAAAAAAAATACTACTTGAAAAAAGATGCATATGTTTCGAAGATGTATTACCACACACAATTTCACGACCCTATATTAAGATGAGTTAATTTCAATCCCCCATCGATAATTCACACGATGGCCAATGTCGAAATAATTGCTGGTACGAAATTAAACAGTAGGATACAAACACGGCGTAAAACCTAGTGACATGACATACCAAGATTAATGAAAATCCGTCAGTAAATTTAAAAGTATAGCACACACAGGTATGATAAAACCACACACCTTTATTTCTTTGCAAAACATGGAAACACTAACATTTCAACTGGATGGTTATATTTCGTGCTAGATAAATGGCATAATCTTAATGTGGAATTTCAGTAATATTCTGTAGTAAGTCTGAGCACCAAGTAAGTTACAGAGTATAATATGGAATGCCACATGAACTATAAGAAATCAAAACATTTATGACCAAGGAATGAAAAGGGGGGGGGGCAGAATCATAGATTTATGTTCATGTTACAAAAATGCAATGTAGGATCTATCCTGACATCATGTAGAGCACAGATTACGGGAAATTTAAGAAGACCATTCAAGAAGATTCAAACTGACTACACATACACCATAAAGAAATTCTGAGCCTATTGTGAGGAGACTATATTGATGATGGAAACAAGAAGGTAATTTGGATGTCAAATTTCTCTGCAAAATTGCTGTAACACTGAATGTGTCATTTTCTTCTAACAGGTATTCCAATTGTATACATCCTGGTGACTGTACCAGGTTTAATGCCATGGGACCAGATTGAATCGCACTTCCTCCCATGGTGTCACATTATTGGCGCTGTTAGTCCATGGATTGGCAGTTTTGTTTATCACTTGTTTATGAACCTGGAGCGTGGAGAGGTTGTCTACTACAAATTACTGCAACTTGATATGCTTGGAATATGGATCAGCCAGAGTTTTGGTAAGACTTTTGTATCATGCATGCATCATGTTCATTCTACTATTATGTATGTCTTAACAGAAACCCATAAATTCCTATCTCCTCCATTTTCTGCTGTCACAAATAATAAAATATGTGAACTTCAAAACGATCTGAATTATAAGGAAATATAAATTAATGGTATCATCACACGTGTCTGTCCATCAACGTGTATTTTCCCCGTAACAACTTTTGAACCAACTTATAGGTTTTCATGAAACTTTGTATGAATACAATGTCACTAGAGACCACTCTAAATTTCTCTTTTAAAATTTACTATCACAAATAACATCTACATGGCAGCTGTACAAACTTGTGAGGTGGGATTAACATTAGTACTTAATGTGGGCCGCTGAAATGTTGTATCAACAAACAATTGTTTGACATTTTTGTCTCTGAGTTAACACCACACTCCCATTCAGTGCATTTAAGTGGCACGAGCCTAACTAAAAATGCGCTAAAGAACAAATCCTTTCTTTTCAACTAATAATTACCATTATAGTAACCCAATGAGAAACACCGAAAGCTTTCCTTCCTGATCTGCATATTTAGCTTCCCCAAACAATTACTGAGACTAAATGACCTTGATATTGCATGTGAAGCAGTGATGTCACATTTCCTATATAACAGAGGATCTCTTAATGACATACAGATGCCATTATATATCGCCATTTTAACTTGTATCTACTGATGCAAATGGACATGAAAAATAATAAACACTGCTTTGACTACTTCATAATGGAATGCTAGTGTTCTTATGCACTTCTATGGATTCTTTGCTATGGGGCAAAGACTTACAAACAACGATGCTTGCTGCTAATAGTCACTAGCCAAGAAACTCTTTGATTGTAATAGAATCTGTAGATTCACAACAGCCCACCACTGGTCCCTATAAATAGAATTCCGGCTTGAAAACAGCTAAAATTCTCATGTAAGGCTGAAGCAACCATGAGAAAAATAATTACGTGACAGAAATATAAGAAAAATAATGCTGCAAGATGGGCACATACATACAACCTTGATCCTTAACAGTTCCTCCTTGTTATCATCTAGAACCCACATTTGCTCAAGACTAGGTTTTTGTAATTAATCTCATGTAAAGGACTTTACAAGAAAATTTTTAATGCTATCATAAACTTCACAATCTAAAATGAGAATCACCTTAACAAACTGCGGTTTATTTGACTTTATTTTTATGTGGAAAGTATTAAAATTTATATTGTAGTTTTCTGAGTTGTGACTGTAGTGTTGTAGATGGTTACCAACTTTTCAGAAGACCATGCTGCCTCAGTCTTTAGGATACCCCATACAACTACACAGTGTCACAACACAGAAAACTGTAATCTGAAATCTCAGTAAATACCTCAGACCCAAAAGAAATTAAAACTTTTTTAGCTTCCCTTCATATGAGTGCAGTTGGTATTGTATCATTCTTTGAATGTGCAACTGTTATCAATGTTCTTTGTATACTACTTACAATAAATATGTGGTACTATTCTTTTAGTACCATAGTTTGTCGTTAGATGTTCTTGCTATCTGTGTTATCTGTCATTAATTTTGTTTGTCATAACAGTGCGAGTAAGAAATGTTGTTTTAAAGTGCTTGATTTATTTCAGTATTTTTTCACTGTTAAGAGAGATGTAATTGATGTTATGATGTGTTGCCTTCAGCTTTAATAACTTAAATGTGCTTGTTAAATTATGTTCAGCTTCCCAACATACATGTGGCATGATCTGTGCAATGCATCCTTAAATAACCCAACATAATATTCTATACTGGTATCATACACGAGTAAAGTTGTTACTAACAAGGCATTATTAATGAATTAGAAAGGAAATTAGTTAAAAGACTTCTAGGAAAATGGCTGTGTTCTGGATTGTAGTGACATGTAGTCCCATAGCAGTGTACAAGGATCTCTGAAACAATGGTAAACTTCTATGAAACTACACAGCACTACAACCCAGAAGATGGGTATCTTCATATTCAGTGTCATGAGAACCTCAAATTCTAAAAGTTCTAAATAAACATTTTATTAAATCATCGTGTGACATTTCAATATTTTTTCCATATAGATACTTCATTGAACAATTGAATCTGTCATTCTCTCTTATAAACCTTCTGTTAAAATCAACTGATCACAAACCAATTCCACTGACATCTGGGGAGGGCAAAACAAAACAAAACAAAAAATATTGGAATATTTCTGTCTAGTAATACACATAAATAGCTTAAAGCTATATGTACTGAAAAAATCCAGAAATTTACAAAGATAGAGATTTACTTCAAAATCTTTACTTGAAGAAGCATACAAGCTTGATTCAACAACACACACGCATGTTTTCATCTCCAACTGATCGACTGGATGACTAATCAGTGGGTATTATACTGATCAGCTTATAATGGTTACTCACATCCACTAAAAATATGTAACACATACTTGTTAATCAAATTTTAAATTGGAACTCCCCCTACATCTTATGAAATAGTTGTAAAATAAATACCCTCATCAACTACAATTAGGCATTGTGATTTCCTTACATCAAAATATACAATCAAGACTTGGTTCCCTTATTCCAGTTTGTGAAAATAGAGTACATCATGGCAGGGTAAGAATGACATCACAGAAAAATAAATATCAAGTGATGTATCCTACATCCACAAAGTTTATGACTGAGTATTTTCTTATCAATAAACAAAACATTACATTCTTGTAAAAGATACCTTCTGCATAAATGTATGGATGGACTGATGAGAATATCAATTAAATGACTGGAAGAATAAAGTGTTAAGGGAAGTTACCAGATGAACATTGAACAATTCTATTACCAGTAACAGAGTTGTGTAAACCAAGAACATGTGAAGAGGAACACAACAGTGCTGTACAGAAGGGTAACCAACTCAGTTAAATATTTCATAAGTTTGATCTATTAAAAATGGTTAAACACTTTTTAATTATTCTCCTTATCAATTCTGAATTATAAATTCTTAAAAGAAAATACTGATATAGATTTAAAAATTCATCAAAATATGAACAGCATTTCCTTCAGCGGCTAACAAAATATAAGTGATATTTACAATATGAATGATTCTAGACACTACCTGAATTCTGCAGAGCTATACCCAGAAATGGTTAAATTGATTCAACAATATCAAAAACAAAAAATAAACATAAAACCTTACCAACATGTGTAGAGAAGGTTTGATATGTGCTGTGCCCATTTTACACCCACAAATACCAAGTTTACAATTAACAGTTTTCTGACTAATATACTAATTAGAACATATACATTCACACATATCATTGTTATATTTATCTTAATCAGTATTTAGACACACACAGCACACTTGAGGATGACACAGTAACTTAGAATTGATGAAGTATCTGATTTTATTACTAACTTCAATCTGTTTTAGAATAATCCCATATGATACAACAAGAATCATTTTGGAATATTCATAACAAAATCATTGTGTACAATCCTCATGCCTGAGTACCCACGTACCAGCGGAAATGATATGCAGTAACAAGGGCAGATGTGCGAAGCTAATGAATGTTCTGTGTGAAAAGGCTGCTTGCTTACCGTGTGTGTTGCTTGTTCTGTTGTGTGCAGGCGCGCTACCCATGGTGTACGCCTCTGTGTTCTGCCTGCCCTGGGCATGCCGTTGGCTCATCCTCTCTTCCTATTGCCTGCTCTCCATATGGGGGCTCTACAAGGTAATAAGGAACCTGTTAAAATTATTTAAAATGGGCTTCTTAGATAAAGTGGGCTTTTGTTGCTTTGACAGCATCCATTTTCTGACACAAGATAGCATTTAGAAGAGTCAAATAAGTAAACACCGAGTCTTATACAACAACTATTTTGCTTTCTAAAGTTGTAAATAATGACTGTGATAGTTTAAACAAACAAACAAACAATAAAAAACTTTCTATTAGCTGCACATATGAACAATTTCACTTTGTAACATTCCCCATTTCTTCCACCACTCAAAAACCATTTTAGTCAAAATAAAATTGAACTATTTCACTGTTTCTTATATATTTATCAAGCGCCAACATACAATTTCAGATTTGGGGCAGAATAAACTTGGAGACCATGTGCAACTAATATGTTCTTGATATAATGATAGTTCTGTTAACAGAACAACTACAAAATTTGGTATAGAAATGTAACAATAAACTAATTTTACTCATGTAGAGTTACTTGATCTTATTTTTTATCAGAACCATTGGATAACCATCAATGTAGGGAAGTCAAGACAATGCACAGATAATTATTAGGATGAAAATTGTATTCAACATCAAAGTCTAAAGTTGAATACAAAACCCACATGTTAATAAACTAAGACAGAAAGCCCCAACTTAGAATAGCCATGGCTATCAGACCAGCTCAAATTATCCACTTATAACAAGTTATAACAAATATAAATGTAATAAAATATACTTAAAACCAAACTTGGTCTACATATTTGCAGTGTTATTTTCTCCTAAGCAAATAGGATGGTCTTATTTCTATGACAGTTCATGGCAATTTGGTAGGGCACTTCCTTCATAGAAGATACACCTAATAGTTACACTGCTATGAAATGAGCAACATTTATTGAAACAGGATGAAACATGGGAAGATGAGGTTACTGAGGTGGTTTAATAAATTCTTCTTGGGCTGCCAGCCATGTAAGGTGGCTTAATGAGGAAAACACCAACATTTCGAGAACCATCTTCTTCCTCGTCCTCAGGGTACTGTAGTTGTAGGAGATCCTGTCCATGCTCTGTGTATACCTGATCCAGTTCCGTGTTATTGGCTGCACGTTAGCCAATAGGCCCTGGTCTGCAGAGTGAAGTGCTCGCTATTTTTTGCCCAGCTTTGCAATTGGATAACATGTTCTTCACTGGGTACCACGTCCAGCTCAATGATAAACCCCTGCCTCTGTTAAAATTACAGATTTCAGTTAAATTTTAAGCAAGCAATTCAAATTCAACTGAACTCTGGGGTTAATGGTCAGCCTCATGCACTGGCTGCACTTTACCCCTGGGGAAAGGATCCCTGGTACCCATTGTACAGGAGGCTGGGAGGGCCCCAGAGCCAGTCTGCACCCAGAGGCTAGAAGAAAATCCTCTGCCCCTGCCAAGAATCGAATCCCGATCGTCCAGTCTGTAGCCAATCACTATACTGACCGACCTACCTGGCTCATTACAGTATTTCAGTTCAAAGTTAAACTATCTTTGATAATAACAAACTTAAGAAATTGAGAATAAACCAAGTGAATCTCAAATACACAGTCTCATACATATGCTACAATCCTATCTAATTTGGCTCTTTAAAATTCAATCAAAATAAAAGAGCATCATGTTAAAATAAATGAACTTCAGGCATTTAAGAGACTACACAAAATCCACAATGAGAAATCTTCCACCATTTTAGGCTTCTGGGCCTAATACTAATGCAATTACAGAAAATTTAAAAATCACCTCATGGTCTATGTATAATTTGGGTTCCAGTATAGTTTACTTACTCTCTGTTGTCACAGGCTCTCACAGCATGGTCACCATGGGAACGTAGGCTGTGTTTCCTCCTGCCTTTTGTGATGCGTGCTGTACTGTGTGGTTTACGTTACTCTCCTCTTGGAGGTGGTGACCCTGCATCATTGGTTCATGTTATACTGCAGGTAATATCCACTTAAAAATACACTTCATGGTTTGAAACAACACTATTGTCAGCATCATGAAAAATAAATGCTTTCAATTGTAACACACCACGACATAATATATTTTAATATTCAGTTTAATGAACGAATATTTGTTTTTCTTACTATCAATATCAGTTCTATATGAATTACGACATACAACACTACAAAGTAAATAAACAACATTATCAAGTGACCAAGGAAATCTATTTAAAAATCTGACAACCACTAAATGTTAAATTGTTTAAAAATATCTATCCCATAATTAACTGCAACAATGTTTAAGTTTCAATTTGTAACTGATAACGAAAGGTTTCTGTTTCAAATCACTTTACTTTTAATAGGTATGAGAATCTTTGCAGTGTTTGCAGCACAGCACCTAAATAAATTGTTGTAAAAGGATATATCTAAAGCTTCAAAATTAATTTTATTTCAATGTAGACTGATCTTCAGTACAACTTCGTTAGCCTTTTAACCACATGAAAACTTTGTATGAGGAACAAACCCATAATGATTGGTTCAAAAAGTAAAGGGAGTGGGATATAAATAATTGTAATATTCAATGACAATGTTTTATTACATAATTTGATCTCTCTTTTATGTAAGAGAAGAGTTAACTTCCTATTTCCCCTTCACACCAATGTCTATATATAGAATTGGCACAGTTAGAATTTATATACCAAATATAATAATAAGATGCATAATAGAATTCACAGTATCTGCATGTTTATAAATTGCCGCAACATCACACAGCATGCTAACACATACAAGAGCAAAGGTAGCTTGTTTTTAGCCACTTTAGTATATTTATATTGTTATTGTAAAATAATAAAATCAATTAATATCAACTAAAATGTGCTTCATGAATCAAATGCAGCATAGGACTTACAGATCATAGCATTCTCAAGTCTTCAAAAACACAAGTTGAACAGTATATGATATGACCTGTCAATCCACATAAAACAATGATAATTTTCCTATTATTCATCTTCATGTCCTTTTATTAATTTAAATATCAAAGTGGTAAAAACACCATACAAGGAACCCACTGCTAAGAAACCTTAATTTTACAAGACTTGTAATTCAAACATTTTATTTATTCTTGGGTTTTCCTCAGGATTAGAAGATTCTTATACAACATTCAATTCTTTTATGGAAATTTTGAAATTATATAAAGTTATATTTGAAATATCAAGAAAACCCTCTATTTTATCTCACAGCCAAGAATGAGGCACTCATACAAAACAATAGTTTTCTGTGTTGTGTTCTTTATTGCAAGAGATTTCCAGATCACGAAAGACTCAATTTACACAAATCTTACTTAAAGGAAAGCCTCCAAAAATAAATTTCTAAACATTTATTCTAGAATTTCTTTTGAGTAAAATTACTTACTGTATGCAACAATTTCTTCTGAACAAGCTACCACTATAAATTAAGGTATGTTAGATACATGTAAATGTTAAATTATTTTTTCTACCTGCACAGGACCATCAAAGAAACCTTTATAATATGACAAATGTACATACCTGTGGTAATTTTGGACATATGTAAAATCTGACTTATGTAAAGGTTTGTAGAACTGAAGCCTTACGTAAATTAGGGACTGTCTGTAACGTAGCCATAAAAATGCAACACAGTTTAAGTCTCACTCCAGTACCAAATGTTGAATCAATATCACTGATGTGTTTCCAATAGGATGCAGTGTCTGCACTAGGTGGTGCCATAGGTGCCATGCACATTCCTGAGAAGTGGTTCCCAGGCACAGTGGATATGTACCTCAACTCCCATAACATCATGCACGTTCTGGTTGTTATGGCTGTGTATTCTATGCACCAGGCCACAGTCCGGGACTTGTTGTGGATGGCAAACGTTGACTGCAGAACAGGGCATCAACCCATAGACACATTTGCTGGTTTGCAAGATGCCACAGAGCTATGACTTGTGAAATTTCAGTTGCATGTGTGCTGGTGGATGGAGCTCATACCGAACAGTAATATTATTCTTGATCTTCTCCATACACTACTTTAGCGTCTACCGTCAACAACACTGATAGTTAAAGAAAAAATAATATTTAAAGTCATCTACACTACATACAAGACAAGATGTGTGTAGATGTGGCTACAATTTAACATTCTTCCACTTGTTTTAATATTAATATTTCACTTCATAACTTAAAGCATCAGTCCATAGCATATTTCTACACACTCTGAACTGGTCAATGTGCAGACACACACCACTAATGAACATTATGTCACCAAGTTTCCAGTCCTCATTCCTTAAGCCTTCTGCCAACTTATATGAAGGCTCACTGTCTTCCACTATGGACCATGTCCAATCTCTTCTAAACTGTTGAATCATCTTGGCTCAGCACTTTCCACCAGTAATTTACTGTTCATAGAGCTTCTGAGTCATTTCAGCCGATCACTGGCTAACTTATTTGCCAGAACACAAACTTTAGACTATGATAGTGCTACAGTATATAAAGAGTAGTGGCAGTTCACAGACTCAGAATCTTAAAATAATCAATAAATTCTCTGAAATTATGGTAATATTTTACAATTAAAATAAGATGATCTTCAAATCTACTTCAACAAGAATTTCTAGCTAATACAAAACACAACAAACTAACTAAATCCATGGGGCAGAGTTGTTCTCAAGAAATTTATAGTATGTATGTCTAGTAAAGAAATTCTCTACCTTATATGGAACCCAAACGTTCATTACCATGTTCACAAGAGCCTACCACAGGTCCCTATCACGAGCTAAATAAATCCATCCCTATTTCCCTAACATCCATTTAATATTGTCCCTGATCTTCCGAGTGATCTCTTCCTTTCAGCTTTTCCAACTGTGTACACATTTCTTATCTCCACCATGCATGCTACATGCCCTTGATTAAATAATCTTAATAATATTTGGAAAGAGTTATTACATCATGCATGTAGAAATAAACATTAATTACAAAATTTAAACCATAATTATTATGGCTGTAATGATTATATACAAATAAGTGCATTACACAGAGATGCTGATATAATAAATACACAGACATCTAAATATTATTAAATTTTATTCTCACCTTCGCTAATATAATTGTATCCAGATAAAAACATTAGATATTTTCCTGTTGAGTAGAGGACGGTAATTGCCTTGTAAGCCGATGCATGCACACAGAACCAATTTGAACACAGGCAGTTATAGACATTCCATTGGTTAACTAAATTATATAAACATACTCCACATAGGTAAACTGTCTCATTTAGTATTACAATCAGTATAACAACTAAAAATTTTGATTAACTTGTAAGTATGATTTGGACATTAAAATAATAGAATGTTCTGATCAGTTGTTAGGTAGTTTTATGCTATAATCAGTTATGTATTTTTTTATGTTCTTATTTATGCAAAGAACATCTTATGGGCCTCTCCATCCCTGTCTGTTGCATTTTTTGCAACAATGGAATCCAATGGTTTCCATTGTTGCAGAAGCCACCTGGAACAATAACCTACATGATCTGCTGTGAAGAACACCTTTGTAATACCAGCATACTCCAATGAGTACAAATCCTGTAACTCTTTTTCTGGGTGTCAGTCTGTTAATGTCATTGCCCTCAAGTAAAATGAATGTCTGAAGAGCACTGTGATTATACAATTCCAGGGCAAGAACATTCATGTTAACTGTTAGCCCAACTAACATGGTTAACATAAATGCTACACCGCTGTACACTTCATTTGATAATTATATAAGATTTAAAATCAGTTTCATTTGGATATGCAATGTAAGTCTCATGTTTTATTTAACACAGCAGTCACATTCACAAATCAATGACAGGTTGCATTTCTTCGGTAGATCAGAAGATCAGGGCAAGGGGAGAAGAGGAAGAAGAAAAGGATACACAGACAAAGTAAAAAGAAGTAGATATATTAACTCCATTTTTACTTTGAAAAAGTAGACAATATCTTTATTACAGAACTATAACTAGTCAGTTAACATACTTACTCCTAGATTTCAACGCTGCTAGTACCATATCCTGACACTGGACCCTATCCTAAGCAAGTCCAGTTCATTCACATCTCCACAGATTATTCCTCTATAACTAATTTTATATTACCATATTTTCTTTATAGTTTAATTCTACTTAAACTATTACATTTAAAATGATCTGAAAATGTTATCAGTATAATATACAATAGTCTTATAAGTTTATAATTTAACAATACAGGTAGTCCTCGATTTACGCCGGGGATGCGTTCCTAGACGAACCGGCGTAAACGGAATCGAAGTAAATTGAAACTCTTTTATAATGTAAATCAATGGGAAGTCAATGACATGCGTTCCCAGCACCCAAACATTGACGAGTAATATAATGGCATTATATTTAAAGCTCTGAAATAACGTAAATAAAATTAAAGGAATTTAAAAAATATATTTTATATACTTACAATCGGCAATTCGTTGCTCCCAGCGATTGACTGCTATTCTTTCATGTGACTGATGTGTATACAGTCATCTCTACTGTTATGAGATAGTTGCATTCATGTAAGACGCCGAACTATAGAAAATCGCGTAGTAAAAATAACCCCGGTACCTCCGCAAAGATTAAATTAGTCCTTTTAAAGTTTAAAGCGCCAGGAATGAAACTGCATAAGACCAAACTCGCATATGCAAAAGTTTGTATTTCACAAACAGCTTTTACCGATTCATCGATCTCATTGGAGCAAATTCGTGTTAACGAAACACACGTAATTGCAGAGATGACTGTATTTATAATTTTTATTCAAAATCAGAGATGTAAGAATTATGATTTAGTATAAGAATCAGTACGAGATACATTGTAATACGTTATAAATAATAGTCATTTTTTTCACTTTTTGATTTGCTGGTTTCTAAATCGGTGCAAATCGAGGGCTACCTGTACATCCCTCAGCCCCACACAATGGTACCAATGAGAAAGTGGCATAAAGAAGTTAATCATCCCAGATTATAACTGTACAGAATGGCTGTCTTCTGGGTTGTAGCACCATGTAGTGTCCTTTTCAGGACACAACCAGGCCCAGGCCAATTCTTATTCCCACTCTCCTTGTTTTTCCTTACCAAGTCCACCTAACTAACTAACTAGATGGCTTACCGAACCCGAAGGTTCATCACCGAATTAACCAAATTCCTCCACCGGACCCTGTCCTGGGCCAACAAAATCCAGTTTCCTTCAACTCCTATCTCCCATAGATCCTGCCTGAGATTATCCTCCCATCTACGTCAAGATCTCCCCAGCGGTCTCTTCCCTTCAGGTTTTCCAACCAGTACCCGGTGCACACCTCTTGTCCCATCCACCTACCTCCCTTATGTCCAATGATCAACCTGATACACCTCGATCTGCCCTTATAAGAGCTGCTTTCTTAGATCTCCCTGTCTCTTGTGTTCTTACCCCTCCTGCTGGCCTGCTCCTATTGACTGTCAGTTCCTATAACTCAGACCAATTCCATGTGCACAGCTTACTCATTGCCCTGATAACTGAGGCAGCAAAGACCAATGAAACATTGGTAAACTTGTACCAGACTACACGGTGACACAACCCAGAAGACAGTCATCATCAGACTCACTGCCATGAAACCCTCAAATCCTACTTGTACATATTTAAACATTCCACTAATGATTGTCTTAAATTCACATTTCTGAGGTTATTACTAAACACAACTAATTATATAATTTTTTTTATTTTTCTTTGATGTCAGACTCAATAAAGAGGAAGCAACTAACAAAGCACTGTTATCTCAGGACAGTTTCTCGTTACCAAAATCCTCTGTCCTCTATCAGTTTTAGACATTTCCTGTCTGTCATCTACTGCCATAAATTCAAAGCCAAAAACCACAGTTCTTAAGTATGAAAACTAAAGAATTTAAATTTTTAATATCTTTTGTCCTTTAGTCATGTTTGTAGGATACTCGGAGCTTTCTTAATTCTTAACAGGTCAGAGATAAAACATGATGACACTAAGTAACTTGGACAGTTATATGACAATTCTCCTGGTACATATGGCATTCATGGTTTCATGTTACGCAAGAACACCGTCCTTCAACCTAAGTTATGAGTAACATATTCTCATCCTGAAGCCAATACATCTGAGATTAAGCACGAAGGATTCACCTTGAACTCACAGGACTGCCAACAAGGTAAACTGAAAGCCACATTTTTTTCATATCGGAAACCAAACTGCCATCAAAGGGTACAAGAAATGACCATGTGTTTGAAATACTGTCTTCTGTACATTATAATGTGTTTGGAAAGCAATATTTCACAGCTGTGACCGAGATGCAGATTATAAATATTATGAACTGTAATGAGGAATTCAAATAAGTTTTCAAACTGAACACGTGTTGATTAATACGAAAAATGATAAATCTTTCTGCTATGAATATGTTACTAAACACAGTAAAAGATCTCTGTAAAGAAATGTATGATGACATTTCAGGGTCCTAAAATTTATTATAAATTTAAAATAATTTATTTTTCCATTAACAAATCTTGTACATCAAAGCTCACTGAGTGTATAATTTGTACATCAATAAAAATAGAAACAAAAAGAAATAATAATAATACTAAAAACTATATTAAATATATGCAACCCTGATATTACAAGAGACCGACTCATAGATCAGTGAAGTACTGGGTTATATTGTCGTTAGCCACAACTAAATTGTTTCCATAAAGTCATCTGTTTGTAGGACTACTAATGTTGTATGTGGAATTAATTATACCTTAAAGGTTTGATGAATAAAAAATCTTCAATAATAAAGAAATAATAAATAAACCTTTATTGACTGTGAATCGCAGCTTACACAAGATTCAGCTGATCGCGTTGTACAAGCACAACATTAAACCATTAACTCTGGAGGACTTCTTCACATATGATAATGATTGATATGGTCTGATAGAATAAATATATACCTTGAACTACAAAATCTGATTTAGAACTTTAGACCTGGTCTGACCTATGAGGCAGTCTCATGATATGGTCTCCTGTCTTCACATCACACCAAGGCCCAAGTATATTAATCAGTATTTCATAAATTAACACAATGGTGCAGACTGGTCAAGAAATTTCCTTCTTTTTACAGAACATGAAGATTCATTACCAAGTTCACAAAAGCCCACCATTGGAGTTAATCCTCAACATGTTAAATCCAATTCACAGCCTCACAACCTATTCATCTAATATTCATTTTAATACAATTTCAAGATATCACAGGCTCTATCTTCTCTCACGGTTTTCCAACCAGTGTGTATGTATACAAAATAGAGTGACTTGTATAATTGTGGAATTCAAAGTTAAGAAGCCACTACAAATTGCTTTCCTTGACAGACATGCAGAGCATTTTTAACAATAAATCATTAGGAAGTTATAAAAGAATTACTTTTTACTTTACTTATAAAAGAGTGTATTATTCTTAATTAACTTTCTGCATGTGATGTATGTCTTTTAAAATGCCACTGGCTTCTGTTTACGAAAAATGTAATCACCATGAAGAAATTCAAAATATTTTCCTTAAAACTGAAAAAGAATATAAATTCTGTCTTCATGAGAGGTTCATTTCTGTTGGAACATATTTTGTGAATTGTACTGAGGAAGTAAATTTTTTGTTAAAAGTCATGAATGTGTGTCTGAGAGGTGGTGCTGGGGAAATTTGTAACAGAAAAATGTGTGAATTTTTTCACATTGAAATAGTTGTGCTCATTTTAACTGAATCACTGAAACAACAGATGAACATATGTCTGGTAATAAAGAGTGAATTTTTATTATATCTAAATTATGCTTGAAAACAGAGTGTATCACTATTACTTTTATTATATATTACATTAAAAAAATTCTTAATTATGTAAATACTGTACTTTCATAAGTTTGTTGACAACCACAGTTGGATATTGGTTATCTAAAGGATTGGAATATAAAAGTGTAATTAAAAATATAAAATTCATGAAACATTTTGACACTAATATTTTAATGGGTATAACAGATAAATGTTTTGAGTGTTCATAGTATTTTATACCAGACTCTGAATAATGCAGTGCTGTTAAAACCTTTGCAAAATGTCTATTCATATTGTTAATCCTTGTTGGTATTCACATTTGTTCTTGGAACCCTGTTTGATTTATAAACTGTAAAATCAGTTATTCACAGAGCTAAATGTAAACATTTATCACTGCCACAAGAGACTGGAGAGATAGTGAGGGGAGATGAGGTTGCAGCATCTATTGGTTTTCTGCAATTTACATTAAAATAAATATTAAATGCAACCTTACCCACTAATCTTTGCTCTGTTTCGGAGATGTGACTTATATTGGTAAGTTCTGAGTGTAATAATTTTGATAAACATGTGTCTGGATGAAAATGGCATATCGTGATCATCCACTAATCCCTACAATTTTTATTAGACCTCCACACCCTCATATAATGCGAAAACTACAGGCATGCTGTGTCCAATTTACATATTTAACCTTCTTAACCCATTAATGGACTTCAATTATTTCTACTACTTTGACTACTTTTAAAGATCGGCTCCATCTCCATCTTTAGCTAAGATCTGTACGGCTCACTAGACAAATCCAATCTTCAATCAGAGGGGTTTTGGGGGGGTTTCTCCTCAGTCCGTCCAGTCATATACAAGGACAGTCCTTACATTAGGCCATAACTGCTTCCAGATTTGTTCCAAGTCACCGTTCATTAATCAGCCCATCATTTGGTGCTATATAGTATGAGATACTTACAGTTAAATAAACAACAAATAAAGATATAAACCACCACTGGCTTTATATAATGGGTCTTATAGAATAGGTCCTTCTTTAGGAGGATTTTTGGTTTTCACAGCGACAAGTACAAAGATGGCTGTATTCTGAGTTGTAGTGCCATGTAGTCTGGTAGAAGTTACTCATCACCCTAATGATGGTGGCAGCAAGGACCTCTGAAATGTTGGTAAACTTCTACCAGACTACATGTTGCTACCCACAACTCAGAAAATAGCCATCTTTGTCTAGGTTCTTCTTTTACCTGAAGACGGAGACAGGGCCAATCTCTGAAACATAGTAAACTTCAGAATTTGTAATTATATCTGGTGTCATTTAAATAACAGACAATGGATAATGTCCAAATAAATCATAATAATACTAATACACCAGTATCACAAACTTCAGAATGTTTGTATAAATAGCCTTTTAGATGACAGAAGAAAAATCTGTCCACACTCATACAAGCATTTTCAGCAGAATCTCTATGAGATCCTGCAACATGCGAGAATGTGACAAACTTATATCACCGCGCATTGAGAAGCTGTAACTGAATTTTAAAACATAACATTAAAAAAGGAGATAATTATCCATGGCATGCAAATTACTAATTCATAAATAAAGAAACACTTAACAGGGCAAGAATCCATATAGATAACTCAATATGGACATTAATGCCAAATTAAACGAATTTCCTGTTTGAGCTTCCAAACAATTCTGACACATATCCCTACAACTCTTCAGATTGTCTATAATTTTACATAATCCTGTACTTTCTAAAACACTGCAAACTTGTGGGTACTTCTACACCAGGTGTTCTTAACCCACAGCCTGCCAATGTTTTTTTTATAGCTAGTGTTCATTTTTGTAATATTGAAACACCTATAAAATAAAAAAATACTGTTTACATGAAATTGTTACTGTAACATCCTTACACCAGGTTTGTTTGCTTACCTTTACGTTAATCCAACAGCAAAGCCAACTACCAACAGTTTTATGTAACTAGCTAACTGATGGTATGACATACAGTACAGCCATTTCTCCTCCTATAACATAATAGTTGTGTTCCTGGAAAACACCTCATTATGGTAAAATTGTGTTAATAGAAACTGCTGGTTCAATTGGAATTTAAGGGTTAGGGGTAGAGAGTTTGGTTTCACCATCATAAATGTAATTTTTCTACAGTTGTTAATCATATTATTAATTTGAATGCATTACTTCTGCATAATAAATTTGTACATCCGCATTTATGGTTTTTTCTTTGAATTTGATTTAATCTGATCACATTGTATCCACCATATACCAGCATTATTAAAAACAGCTTTCTCTTATAAATCAACTGCATTATAGCCAACTCACATTATGAAAACATGTTACAGAAGAAATGACTGTACTTGTTCTTTGTGTTGTTATGTTTGCCCACCTTACACACTTAGGCCTTGTCTTTCTGTTTCTTTATTAATTGAACAATGTGTAAAGACACATGCTGCCTGTTGAGAGTTTTATCTCCTTTCATCCCAGGCATAAATGGACTCTACAAGAGGTTATGGGCCCAGGGCACAGGACAACATTTAAGTAAGTGTTCTAGTGATTATTTTATAGTGAACTCCTTTTTCTACTGAGTGAAATATAAATAAGATGCATTTAAATTAGTTTTAATGACTTCGCATGCATAACACTTAGTGCCAGAATTATTATAAATTCTTGTTAACAGTAGAGTTAATAAGTGTTTACAGTTGGTAATAAGAATGTTTACCTCTGGAACAATATACATATACACAAATATAGTGTGAGCATCTACAATGATCCTATTAACATCTCAACTGACCGCATGTATACCATTTCCAATGGAAAGACTGGAAGGAATGGGCAACTATAACTGAAAGTTTGTGATGGAAATGTGCCTCATACATGAAGATTTGTGGGACTGTGTTGTAGGGAATAGTGCCTGATGCCAAAAGGGAAGCTACAGCAAGGGCCAAAAATTCATTTTTTGGTAAAGGCAACAACATACGCTCATATGCAGGCAGTGATCACATCCAAGGAAGCATGGAGTAACCTACGAATTTCAGAAACAATCCAAAAACGATTATGGAAGCCTTTAGTCAACCTTCATCATCCAAGCAACACAGCTTATGTGTGGTCCAGCTTATTGTGCATTGCAATAGCTACTGCTAAACTGTTAAACTTAAACTAAGTCCAATCAGAAATCCCACAATATGGGGATTTAAGGTCCCTATTCCTGTATGATGAAGATTAAAGGATTACTGTACCAGTCTTGATAATCTAAGAATGTATTCACGTCTTGTAATGCCAAAATATCATTGTTTATTTGGAAAGGCATATAAAAGAACTATGTGAACTAGCTCATATCACAAGCTGAATTTACACATTTCCTTAAATTACCACGAGTTGGAATTTTACTTGAAATAACAAATTTCCATTTATAGCACATTTGGGGAAAAACTGAGAGTATCTTTGGGTTTATCTGATTCAACTTTTATCTGAAGACATCCAGAATGTGAGTAAAATGCACATTGTAATGTATTCATGTGCTTGGTGAGCAAATAGGAAATTGTGAATTTTGTAATTTAAAATTTCAACTGCTGTTTGGTGAGATTTTCAATAAAACTCATCAACAATTATCTTATAATTAATTTAAACTACTGTTTACAGTGTACAGTGTCCTAGAGCATTATATTGTTTCCCACTACATATAGGCTTGGTTAATTAACTGGTTTGGAAAAAATCTAATAAACACTGTGACAGCAGAATCTAAGGTTCAATATCCTCAACACCAAAGCCCACTAATGGACACAGTCTTGAGCCAGTTCCCACTCATACTTTTGTCACAACCCACCTATACCCTATGTTATTCTCCCATATCTTTCTCCGTCTTTCACGTGAACATTGTGCAATGCCCAGTCAATCATACACTCTTAGATTTCATTATCCCAACAAAAATTTCTAAATATTATTTTCTAGCCAGCTTTCCTTTCTTTCTCAAACTAATTCTCATAGTTTTGTAGTTTCACACAAAGGAACAAACTTTCAACAAACTTGCAAATCTCTATATAAACAATTACTTAATTAAGATCTGTACAAGTATGAAATACCACATTTACTCACATACCTGCAGTTACTGCGTAAGTGGCAAACCTGACTGATGAGGGGCATAGACCAAATAATTGCTTCATCTTTACTCTAACACAATGGTTATCTACATTTGCATTGCAGTCTCTCTTCTGCTTCTACTCCTCTCACTGGACTCATGGATGGACTGTGTGCTAAAAATATCCTTTACCAAACTTTGTAATAGAAAATGTAATAATACTGCAGTGACAAATGTAAAATGTTATTTCCACACACCAGAGGACACTTTACCTTTATTAAGCTTCACTCATGTCCCTTTCCTACTTCTTGTTTTTTCAATAAAAAACTATAAAATATGCTAGCAATAAACACCATGCTTAATATAGCAACTTCTGAAAGACTGGTAATACTTGACCCTAAGTGGGATAAAAAGGACAATTTAAGATACTGTGTCAAGAGAACGTTTGTAACTTACACAGGTTACTTTATATTGCTGAAGTAGTCGGATCAAGAAGGTTGTGATAGGCTGGACATGTGGTTCATATAAGGGCAATAAAACATGTATTCAAAATTCTGGTGGGGAAATATTTTCGAATATGGCAGTGTATGAGTTCTGTTACTAAATTACTTTATCATTACTGTAATTTTATTAATGAACCTGTGCCAAATGGATGTTTACCGAGTGGTTCTTCACTGGATCATCTGAAGTGTGTTTCATACTTTTTGGAAACAGAATTTTTAAATTAAATTATGAAAAAAGTGTGTTGAAGAATATAATCCCACAATTATCAGTACATTTTACTTAAATGGAATACTAAAAACTCTGTCTCCTTCAGTAAATTTCCCATAGCAGAATTAACTCTTTGAGGTCCATTTATTTTGACACAAATAACCAATCACAACAAATTAATTATGTTATAATTTTTAAAATGCTAAACTGAGTTTGACTGATGATTTCTCTTGAACTATATTTAAGCACATGATAAATCAATTTAAGATTAAGCAAATTCAACCTTCAAACTTCTTTGTACATGAAGCCTTACATAGTAAATTCTAAAAGGCTTACAATGAAGGTAAGAAGACTTGATTTGTGACACAATGATGGGTTTCTAAATGCTTAATACGTGTTAAGCATTCAATCCTGTTCACTGATTTGCAGTTTATAATTTATACTGTATTACAAAGCTCAGTATTCAGGAATGCTAATAGTTTCTCTTATTACAAGTGTGATAACCTTTATAATATCACTTAAACACTAATACCATTAGTATATATAATTACAATACACAACATTTAAATTGACAACATAACTAAAATTGGATTTGTACTGTGGACAAACTGGATATGAGCAAGTGAACCTTTAGTAGTCCAATATTTTCACTGTTTATATACATAATTACAATACGCAGTACATGAAATACTGTACAACTTACCAAAACTGGATCTATGTTGTGGGCTTTGCTTATGGACAGGTGAACCTTTGGCAATCCATGCATTCAAATTAATACAATAAGAATATAATTTAAAACTGCAGAAAGCTATAATAAATGGACATTGAAAGTAAATTCAGAATTTTTTAACTTATAGTGTCCTATATACTACATTTAGAAGAATGTAAATTACAAGTTGCACTGAAAGAGTATCAGTACTGGAATTTCACCAAAATAATAATTTAAAGAGTTCCATACAATACAACCTTTCCCAAAGAAAGACATGTAGTAAAGAAAGCTCCATACATTTTACATTAACAGTGACTGAACTTTTTGGGAATCACAGTCTACTGCAAATTTTTAAATATGCATACAAAATGATAAATTTGAATTAAACTGAGTTGTGCACAGAAAAAGGACTCAGAACTATAAAATTTATGTAGGAGGAATATTTTATATTAAGTCTGAAGACAACTGGATTCACTTAGTGGAGTTGCAACACATAGCATATAAAAAGGAACCAATCAGCTCATTTTTAAAACTTCCACAATTTTTTTTAAAAAAGTGTTCAATACGTAAATTTATTCTTAACTAATTAAAAAGCATATTTTGAAATACACTCAAACGTTCTAAACATACAAATTAAAAAGTACCATTGTGGTTATACTTTCATTTTAATTTTGTAGAAACCATTATTACATTTCATGTCAAGGACTTTTGCTGAATACATACACAATTTTATGCAGAAAATTTGAAGGGAAGAGACCTGCAAAAATTATATTAAAACGGATCTTAAAGAAATAGGGTTTTGTATGTGGATCAGATTCATCTAGCACCAGTCTAAGGTCCAGTAGTGACCTCCTGTAACAAGTCCATAATGTTTTGAATACCCAAAAAAAGTGTGGAATTTAATATATGGGCTATTAGTTTTTCAAGGACTCTGCTGCATGGAGTGAGTTAGAACATTTATTCACATACATAAAAGTATTTGGAACATATACAGTATACCTAATCAATTAATGATGTGACTTTCCATGAAAAGCCTACTTTCTGAAATTTTGGAATCATCCTAATGTCAATATTTATAATGATGCATTCTTTCCAGAGCACTTGGAAAACTAAACCCAATCATCAACAACTGACTGTCCATTTAAAAATTCCAAATGCATAATGTTCATACCAAGTTTCATGAAAACTGGTGAAATGGTAAGTTCAAAGAGGGAAACAAAAACAGACACACACACAAAACAGCAACAAGTTTGCCATGATTCAAGTTGATATATTTGAGAGTAAATGTTAAACATCTATTAAACATCTCACTTGTCATCCAAAATCAAATTGTGTTTAACATTTTGCCCTTAATATATTCTCCTGAAAAGCGCATTAAACGGCACAGTTAAATGATAAATAAACTGTACATATAGTTTATTATGAATTACTAAAAGTACACAGCCAGCAATATACCGCTTTTAGGATCATATAAACTTCATGTGGCTAAAAAGACGGCTGTCTTCTGGGATGACGTACCAAGTTATCTGGTAGATATTAAATGACAGTTCATCATCATGATGATGGAGGCAATAAGCTCCTTTCAAACATCAATAAACATTTATCAAACTACATGGAGCAAGACCCCAACGTCTTGATACTCCTCACCATGAAAACCTCAAACCTGATCTATTATGACAATTAATCATGCTATAGTGCATTCACACCATCATCAGGTTATAAAGTGTCTCTCTGCTACATGTAAATGCTAAAATTTATAGATATGTCCCTGAAACTTCATTGTAGAGGAGGAAGTGTTTGAACCTGTAACTAACCATTCCCTTACATATGGTTCTATTCAATACAGTTCTCATGTTCCACAGTGTATGTGTCATAAATTCATTATGATGACTGTCATTATAATAGGATCAAAGTCTTTTCCAGTTATAACAAGTAATAATATGAGACAACGTTTGACTATCTTCCTCTTCCAGTTGGTTGACTGATTATTAGTTATAATTTCATAGTCTTACTCCTGCCTACAAATAAAATTCATAGAAAATTTCATATGCTCAAATTTGGAACATGATTTCAAATCACAACAAATCATTACAAGAAACTAAATTCTTCAGAGGATCATGGTGATAACTTAAATTTACACACTTTATATTCATGTACACAGATATAAAGAATAATTCTGTTTATTTAAGTTATAGGACTGTGATTTACATCAAACAACCAATAACACATTCATAAGGATGGCCTTGTCACAAATTAAGTGCAGAGAAACTATAATTTTAATGGCTAAATGAAGTGATTTCTAGAGTCAGATATTACACCTTTACACAATCTTTACAAATTTTCTGACAAATAATTCTCTCTTTTGTGTCTGAACATAATTAACCTAGAACAAGAATAATTGTTATAGCAAAATCACTAAATATAAGAGATGAAACAGTTATGTGACATCAATTGGTTATGAGCTTACCAGAAGTGGCATGTCACTTGGTTCTTTCCTCCTTCTAAAGAGGATTCTCCGATTCAGCAGTATAGCTCTTGACTCGTGAAAACCAGTAGGGTGGATACCGGTTTCCTGGAAGATCAAACACTGTGGTGGTTTCCTGACCACTGCGGAACTTGGTAAAAATTGAATAGCGCTGCCATACCAACTGTGCATGGATGCGATTTCGGTACGTCACAATTTGCAGCTCCTGAATAAACAATATACCAAAATGTTTATAAAAGAACACTTTGCTTGCTATAAGACATTAGATAAATACCTCCAATGAGAATATTCACTGGCTTTTCATGATAAACATGCTTCACCCAACTTCATGTTTTCCCCCACACAAAGACTGAAAAATTAGTGGTCTAATTCTGTCCACAATTTCCACCAGTGTAAAATGAAAGACATCTAACAAACTTAACCAGAAACTTCTGCACCACTGCAATATAATTTCTAATAAAAAAAATGTTCATACAAAATTTGTAGCAGTTATGACTATCTTGCCACAGAAGGGCTACAATACCTACACTCTGCAGCTTTTGTAACTTCAGTTTTGCCTTTGGTTACCTAAATTTACTATGTGAGTCCTTATTTCTGATGTTCACAATATTTAACGCATTATACTAAAGGGTTGTCTTCTAAATAAAATGGTGTATTAAACATTATGTGATGTGAATGTTCCATAAACTCACCAAATGAAAGGTCTGTTCACCTAAATCCTGGGTGCCTTCTCTTCGTCTACCGCGATAACGGTTGTTAACAGCCATTTTAACTGTGGAGTCCTGTCGACGAAGGACTAGAACAACACGGTCTTCAAGCAGATGATAATTGCCAGATAACACAGCAGGATTTTTTGAAATTCGGTATCTTAGCTGCCCAAGGCTTGATGCAGGGTCATCAGGTGTTGTCAACATCAGAACTAAACCCTCAGGAAAGAACCTGGTCAAAAGCACAAAAGAAAAAGAAAATTAAATTCAGATATAATTTCATTTTACAGGAAATATTTGTAAAATCAATCCCTTCATTCTGACATGGGCAGACTCTGTAAAAGACAGAAACACACTGCTGTGATGCATAGTAAAAAATAATCACTTACAAAGAAACTAATGCTGCTTCTGAACCATAGCTGCACTCTGATTTATGTTGTATAGTTCATATATAGCTATGCAATTAACTTTGCAACTTAATATGGAAAATATTTTATTTTAAGATAAACAAATGTACTGCACTGGACTTAGCAAAAGTTTGTATACGCTACATTCAGCCTGTGTATCACAGTTTGCTCATCTCCAGTACAGAGGTATAGATATACTCAGCCTTTTAAAAACAAGCAAACAAAGTGGATCAGTTTCATACAAACTTGGTACTTATAGGCAACAATGTATTTTACAAGATCTGGTACAAATTTTTATCAAAAACATATCCCTATAAACAAAATGTTGAGGTTTGATGAAATCTGTTGCAATGCATTTCACTGTAATCATAAAAGTAACAAATCGGAACTCCGCATCGAAACAGCAGAGAAACTTTTGATTTATTGCATACTGTAGAACAAGATTAAAGAAAGAAGCTTCATATCATAAGATAACCTGGGCCATATTCAAGCCAGGGAAGCGCACCAGTGCTTTTCTTAGTGCCAGGGTACTTCTTTAGGGCAGTAACGTCAAACACTGGTGGTATACAGCCTAAACGGTTTGAGGCCCCCTTAAAATATCTACCAATACACAGTGTAGAAAAATTATGCAGTATTTAAGTCTAACAGAACATACAAGCTTACTTAATTTCTCGCATCACTGTTTGAGGTACAAATGTCAGATTATTTATGCATTTGCAGTCACAGCAGCTGTTTATTCTTAAATTCTGCATTTAAAAGTGCAACACTACCATAACCTCAATATCATGACTTACACCCACTTCTTACAACCTGGTATCAGCTGCCCTGGTACTTCTGTTTTTAAAACTACACTCCTGAGGATTATTGACTGAAACATTATATTCAATTACAGAATGTGGTACTGAAGAACAGTATGACATGGACAAAGGATATGCCTACCTGAGATATCGATAATACTCCACAATGTGCCAGGGTCTGTAGAATTGATCTTGGAAACTGTTTTCACCATTACGTACATAAGTGGTCTTACTGATGTAACAACCATTGAACTGAAGTCTGGGACGTTCAATGAACATCTTCCGCCATGATTCATAGTGGGTCAGCCCTCCACAATTCACTCCCCACACACTGAATATAAGAACTGTACATTATAAATCTCTACCTCAAGGTGGATATTATAAATTACATACCAGTACCTTCAAGTCCAAACTAAAATAAAAGTATTAGATTTACTGTTCATGTGGCAAGGTGAATTCACTTCTGAAGGTGACTGTCACCCTTGCTAAAATGTGCAGTGGCAAGGACAGTAAAAAGATAAAAAAAATGGTAGCATAAGAGACTAAAACCACAGAAAATATGTATCAAATTCACATAAATCTTTAGAACTGTGCTTTTCAGATTTTATAATATGCAATCAATTGAACACAGGCACTACTAATCAAAGGGCATACAGGGATTTTAAGTTTAATTACTGAAGCAAATAAGCATATCACTTTGATTATGAGGACTGATAACAAACAGTACTTGGTTTGCAAGCTTTGTAAATATCTAGTATCTTCTTTGCTAAAGAAACACAGCACAAAATTAAATTCAAGAGGACAGTAACAACCCATTCACTGAATAATGTCACCATTCACTAACCATTGTGAAAGGGGAGAGGGGCTTACAACATTCTTTTATTATGTCATAAATACCACACACATTCAACGGGCCAATTCTTAGCAAAAATAAATATACTATAACTATACTAGCAAAACTGTCACAGTAGTAAGAAAATATGATATAAAATACACATTTTTTTCTGCTAAATTTCTGTAAACAACCTTTTATCAGAGACACTTAGATGATTCAAATCAAAATCATAGATGTAGCCAAAAAATAAAAATAATCTATCAGATACCACTGCAACAACAAATTAGTAACATTAAATGTATAATTTCAACTTTCAGGAATCAGCCACATCATGCGTTAAAGGTGTTTCAATGTTTTTGTGAACACTGTCA